ACTTAAACTCACCGTGCAGTCTATAATCTTGACCACTCCAGTACGCTGCCTCCCCTAAGGTAGAATACATAAAATAATTATCTACGCACAAATGAACCCTTCATAATGGCCCTGTGGCTCAAAATGTAACCAGAATGTACTCCAGATTTGTCATACACCTTCCTCAAATACATTTTCACCTCTTTCCTAACCTGAACATGTCACTCAAATTGCCTATTTGACAGGATGCTGAGGATCTTATATTCTGTGCCATCCCAAGTTGTTTCACGACTGTTTCCTTTTCCTTCCCCTTCCCAAGGAAGATGAACATTTGTGAGGTGACTCAGGCTGACTTTCCCTTGCACTCAAGAGTGAGCCAATCAATAGCTTTCCCATAGTCCTTACTGCACTGATGACCAACAGTGCATTAATGGCATTGGTATTTAGTAGCTCAAAAGGTCTTGCTAGAAAATAAATTATCTCCCTCATCCTCCCCCTCCAGTGAATCCTACCTCACTGCTTCCTGTTGGAAAGCTTTGGAAGCACTTTGAGTTGTCAAATAGCACCATTTTCCCTTGGCAGTGTGAGCTTATTGATTGAGATAATCCTATTTTCTGAAAATGTCATTTATGGCAGGTGCAATTCCTACTTGGTTAATTCATCTATGGTTTTGTCTTGTATATTCAATCTGGTAACAGAATGCTTGCTTGTTTTTTTCTTCTGGAGTTGGAGTTTTCATTATTGAAGTAAAAAAAATGGGCCATAAAAATATCACACATGAAGAAATCTCGATTAGAAAACATTGCCCTGTTGCTTTCTTCCTGCTGGAGTTTGATGGGCCTACTTTATTCTACTCTTGACAGGACTGGTTTGTTCAATTGGCCTGAACATCACTTTAACGGGCACACATTCCAGCTCTGTAGAATGTTAGTAGTGTAAACTCCTGGGCCCTGGATGCTCCAGTCTTCTTGTAATCTGCACTCTGCTCTTGAGAGGTGAGAGGCAAAGACATCACTAGTCCAAATCCACACCTCACTGGCAGGCAGCCATGACATCATATTTCAGGTGAAAAGACGAGTATATATTCTATCATTGACAGTGTCAAACATCTAGCTAGTTAGGGGTACTTGGGGGAAGGAGAGCAGTAAATCCAAAGGGAAATACAATCTAAATAATAACAATGGTGTGAATGTGACTTGTCCATTTGGAAGACACACAGAAAATGGATGGAAGCAGAAAGAAACAATATGGTGAGTTGGGTAGTGAAATAATAAAGAACTTGAAACTGCTCCCTCTTGAATGTCTTCATTATGTTCTCTGTGGGGAAGGGAGATGCTCCTTGGTTCACATACAATAGAACCAGAGGAAAATCTGCAGCAAGGTATCTTTGCTCAGAAGGGACAGAAGCAATCCAAGACTGTTATCCCAGCTGATTCCAGACAATAGAATGCTGCCAATGCTGTGGCTACAAAATTAAGACAAATCAGATAACGAACAGAATTCTTAGGGTTTATGTCACCATTTGCTATTTAAGAATGTGAAGATCTCCCCTTTAGGTTTTTAGAGTTCAAGTTTCAGTCTCTGAAAAGCTAGAGGTCTGGGCATGAATAGAGTTATGATGAATTATTTTTGACTTTTAAGCATAAACTTCATTGTGATATAATTTGTGTTCACTCAGCACATATACACTAAGTACTCAGTGACTATATTACTGTCATCCCATTTTGTGTGCTTAAGCTGACATACATGATTTTCTTTTTTTTTTCCGCTCTGGACTGCTACACGTAAACACTAAGTGCAATGGTTAAGCTGTTTTAAGTTTATGTGTATGTTTTTCCCCAATCAGAACTTGATCCATTTGGTATTCTACCTAGTAACAGTGCTTTCCTTGTTTTTCTATGCCTTTGGTTTAATTCTTTTCCAAACTTTCTATCCTTTGGCATGTTTCTTGAACAAAGATCAACATGTGATCTCTTGATGCCTCTGTTTAGAACACCCAAGAAGTGAGGATTTACAAGTTTTGAAAGCCAGAAAATCCTCTCCCAAGATCCTTCCCAACGGGAGTAAGCGGTTGCAGTCCACACTGCCTTAAAAAGAACCAGAGTGCAGGCTGAAGTCTTCAAGGGACCAAAACTACTACCAAAGTAAGAATTGTGGGAAAACACCAGCAGACCAGTGTCACAGATACTAGCTTATTTCTAACTGTTTAAAATTTTAAAATGAAAAACTACAGAAGTGGTATAGTTTACAGAATAAGTGTGTGTGGGCAGGTGGGACAACTTATTGTCAGTAACCTTTAGGGATTTTTGTGCATGCACCCCGCCCCGCCTTCCTCTGCAGCTGTTTCTCAATTCTTCCAGCAGGTGTCCCTATAATCACAGAACAAACATTCCACAGCATGGTATGTAACTTTATTTTTCTAGCATAATAATTTAAAGTATTTACACACTGCACACTCACTGTTTTACACAGATACGTATTCATATATCTATGAACCACATCTAAAGATTTCTTTGCAAAAACTTAACACACTGTGGGGTTTCCAAGCATAACAAAGAGGACAAAAAAAGTTTTGAGTTTTTTAAAGACGGCCATGTGGAGCATCTGTGAAAACCAGTGTTTTCCCCAAGGTTTTAAGCTCCCCCAGGAGACCTTTGAACAGCTACAGCCTATCCACGTGTTGGTATGACCTGAAACTCTTCTGGCAAAGGATTTCAAGAACCAACATGTGCAAGCAGCATTTTCTCTTGAAATCCTAGAAAAGAACAGAAGAAAATAAACCTGGCCCTTATCTAGAGAAATACTTGTATTTCTGAAAGTTATCTGTGGGGACCGTTTTACAAGGAAACTGATGAAAGGGAGAACAGCTCAAAATGCACTACAACTAATAGTGATGCAGGATAAGCACCCCTTTCAACTAAATGACATGGCAAAGTAACTTTTTGCCGTGAAGAAAAAATAACAATTTTATTTTCCCAACTATTACTAGCGGTGGTTTTATTTTCCCTGAAAAGAACAAAAGTATATTAATCATACATACTCTAAACCCAGATACTATAGAAATTCCTACTATTGCTTTTACTTCACTTTTATACTATTTGCACAAAAATAGTGGTTAAAAGTATCCTGAATATTTTTCTTCCCTCATTCTACTCAATTTGGTACATGTCTCCATAGTGAAGAAAAGCAGCCACAGTTCAGAGCTGATGATTGGCAGGTACCTAGTCCAGCTTCTATAACAGAATGACAGCTTTTAAGAGTAAGAAGCAGAGTGTGCCTTCATTTTTTTCCCAGACTGCTCAAGATTATTCTCTCGTACACCAGAAGGTAGAGAGGTTTGCCCTCTAGATGAACTCACAAATCCATCCTGTGACTGGATGCTCCATCAGCTAAGAAATAGAACTTCAGAAACTGACATCCTTTTTCTGCCAGTCTGGGCCTCTGGCAGTAGTACCACTGATCAATAGCACGTGGCAAAAGAAATTACCTGGCCAACTAAAACTAAGCATAATGTTGGCCTAAATCATTGCAGTATTTAAAATTCATATCGTCTGTCTGCATTTATGTAAACTTGAATTACATGTATGTATCACTTCTTCCTGGAACCAAACATTTACATTGAGATGTAACGATATAAACCTACCTATCCTGGAGTTAACTTTTTCAGTTACTGTTCCTGCCTTTTGTTCTTCTTTTCCTTTTGCAAGGAGGTATCAACAATGGAATGGAAGAGGTAAGATTATTATTTTACTTTACAGGGATTTCACCAAGTTACATGGGCAACCAACTAAATAATATTCAACTACGGGTGTTTAGATAGAGAGTACCTGATTAAAGAGACTACCTGGGGAGCACAATGCTTAGTTAACGAGAATGTCCAGATTAACCAGCACCCAGAGTTGGCCACACACTGAGTCAGGCCAAGGAAGCTTTTCTGTCATTATCACCCTACTCTGTTCCATTACGCATACACACACGTCAAAGACTGTGATGAAGACCTGTGTGGAGGACAAGAATGGAAAACTTTGTGATGGGATCTGGGCTTCTACATTAGAAAAAGAATCTAACAAACCTCAGGCCTTGGATCCATAAGGTGAGGTCGAGGAGGGATTGCTGGGGGTGGAGACAGGGCGTGCTGTGTTTCTAGGCCCAAGCAGCTAAGGAAGAGAAAGTTGAACACATGGGCTGGCACAAGTCATACAGAGGAAAAAAAAGGGCAAGGCATGATAATTACTAAATTTATAGTTTCATGTTTTGCTTACACAGAATAGTTAAAAGAGGAAAAGACTACAATGTAAAAAGGGGAATGGGATGAGAAAAAGTCTAGGAGCTACTGGGGTCTAGCAAGATGCTAAACCACCATCACTAGACCCTACAAAACAGCAATTTCACATGGTTCAACCTAATACACTCTGTGTGTTCAAACATGTAATTAGAACTGAGTGTTAACAAGAATGGTAGTAATATCCTCCCCTTCTGAAAAAGTAACAGCTGTTAGAGAAAAGAGGGCTTCTTAAGGTCAGTGTTTAACAGAGTCAAAAGCACCTGTAAAGCTGGGAGTTAACTATCCTTTCAAACCAAGCGAGGGCAGAAGGGTGAGGACATAGTTCAAAGGAAGAGGCAGCTCCACCAGGGGGTGGCGAGTGACATCTGCAAACCGAGGCAAATCAGTAGCAATGGGAAAGGGCAGGAGGCAACAGCCAAGAATAGCTAGGAACAACTGTCCGCCTTCAAAGGGAACGCTGCTGCGTGTGGTGTCTGTGTATATGCACTATACATATTAACCAGGTACACACATAAATATTTAATATATAAAAAATAAAGTGCTTTCTAACAGGTCCCCACGCAGGGACATTATAAAACATTTCACAAAACTGCAAAACAAAATTGATACAATCAAAGAACACTACATCCAACATATGTGAAAAGAGCCAAACACAATATGTACAATCTGGTGGGTGTCCCAGGACAAACATCCTGTCATATACATGGTATATACATATATACTCTTTTACTCAATATATTATGACAATATATATTTTAAAATTTTGTTATAGACAAAAAATAAAAAAAACAAAGACAACCCCTACAAAAACACAATAAGGATCAAGCATGTGAGTCCGAGACTGATAGACACATTGCTGCCTCCACAGGGAGTCCCATTGCCACTGCTGGGGAAAATGTGCCAGCGTTCCTTCCTTGGGTGCAGCGCCTCCACATCCTCCAAGGCACTGTGGGCTGCGGCGGTAAAGTTGGCATCACCGGTGGTGAGCAGGTCGAAGACACAGGACTGGAAATAGATGTCCTTCACTGGCATCTTCTCATGGCATTGACTGTTGGCAGTCTCCAGTGTGTAGCCAGGCCAGGCCTGCACCAAGGACGTGTGAGGCAGGCTGTGCCCCAGGATGGCAGACACCTGGCCCTGCCCATCATCGATGCGCTCACTCAGCGGGCAGCCGTTCACGCACAGCTGCAGGTCCTGGCTTTCCTCGTAGGACATGGCCAGGTCCTCAGGCATGCGGATGGCGAGGGTCAGGTAGCGACCCAGCTGCCGCACGAACACTGTGGTCCCTATGTAGCGGGCGTGCATCTCCACGTAGCGGCCACTCTCCCTCTCCACGATACGCAGACTCTTGGCATCGCCATCCCCACCGCTCGTGGTGCCATCCACAAAGGCAGCGGGCAGGTCGTCTGTCACAGCTTGGTAGACTTTCTGATCTGTACATTCATGGTGGGCTTTGAAGATGATAGTGATCTGTGGGAAGGCACATGCACAACGTTTAACACGGTACGAGGGAAGCGGAACGGTGCAACCCTCTGCAGCAAGCGCTCCCCTCCACTTTGGAGTTGAATGGCTTAAGACAGAATCTCCACACTCGACTCAATTGCTCTTGCCTCACAAATTAATGGTATCGCTTTTAGGAAAAATTTTTAAAAGTCCCATGTATTTAATGAATTAAAATTTAACATACATCTGGGGAATGTGCATCAAGGAAAAACTTTCTTTACTTTCCTAAGACAGAGAATGGTGTTACTGTTGGGATCTAGGCAATGTTTATTGATAATTTAAATCTTGTCTCCTTCTAAAAATAGACAAGCCATGGTATAGCTCTGTGAGAAAGAAAAAGTTTCCTAAGTTACACAGAAATGTCAAGGAGCTTAATTAACAGTATATGCTGCTTTCTAAAAAGATTCTTCACTGGACTACAGAACCATACCCCATGATTCATCACTACAAACTTACTTAATACAAATACTGAGAGACAAGCAGGGAGCTGTGAGGAGGGGGTACCCCAGCTGTAGCCACCAGCGCTGTGCCTCAGGAAAGCTTTCTCTAACTCCCTTCATCAAATGTGTCATTTCACTGGCTAATCCCTGCGACAGGGAAATCACTTGGCAAATACAGCTCCCAAGCACTGGCAGAGACTAAATACCCTAAACCTAGTTACGGCAAATGTTTTCCCCAAACAGCACTATGGTCCTTTAACTTCTCAGAAATCTCTTCCCAGCCAACTCTGAATTCTCCAAATTAAGCACACAATTCATGGAGAAACAAATCTACTGATAATACAAAAGGCCTCCCTTTAGCGAACCCATTTTCTTTCCTGTAGAATCCTTTAATTAGAACAGTTATAAAAAACCTGAACGGCACCTTCATCTCCCACAGGCCCAATGTCTCTGGGACAGGTGGCGGAAGGAAGATAACTATGAAGAGACAGGGGCTCCCGTGTCACACAAGATATGGAAACTGTTCCAAAGACAAAAGGACTGCATTTTGAGATTTGGGTCATTGCTAGTAACTGAGGTAACAGATTTCTTTCTTCCTTCTTGAGAAAGCAAAACGTATCAGGTGACTTCAGTCAAGGAGGAAGGTAGACAAGCCAAACACTCCATGAATTACTCTGGATGGAGGAAACCTTCTACCTCCTGCAAGGGAACTAATCAAAACAATAGTCCCTTTTTAAAAAGGCCAGAAAATGCCCCCCTCTCTCCAAGTCCTCACCACCACCCTCAAGTTTATGTCTGAAGTTTTTTTTTCCCCAACTCGGCCAGCATTTGCTCACACTATTTAATTCCACATGTTCCCACTGGTGTTGCTTGACTGGAATTTTCCAGCCATTTCATTTTACTTCAGCCAGTTATAAAGCCAGATCTGAACCAGCTGCACTGTAGCAACTGGTTAAATTCATATCCGTTGTTTGCAGCTGCAACTAAAAGCCAGACAATGTACTATGAAAATGCTGGTTTTCTCCCTTCCTAATTACCCTGAGCCACAATTTGATTTCACTACCAGCCTTCTCACATTTCAACACCTCCTTAACAACCCAAAGGAGGTGTACCAGAGATGATTTCAGGAAATTTGTTGTGCATCCAACCATAGGACCTTTCAGAGTGAAAGGGGTTTTGAGCTAGATAGCTAATGGGACTATAAAATAGATTTATTTGGTGGCTCTAAAGTCAGTTTGACAAGTGCTTTTTTAAGGTAAGCTGGCATCCCTTGGAGGTGAAAAGATTAATTCAAGAACATTTTGCACTTGAAAATGTTGAACGTTAACAATACAGATGGCTAAAATAAGAGTTAGTAATAGACTTATTAACAGATAATCACTATCCTCATTTTCAATCACAACTCAAAGATTAAACAAACTCTTCTAAAATAGCTAAGTAATTCCTAAGTAATTTCTCTTTCTAGTCTAACAAACCTCAATTTAAACCAACTTGGTATTATTTGCAAGAACTAAGTACTTTTTTGTTCACCTTAGAAAAAAACAAAGAGGAATTACTTTTGTTGGGACAACAAAGCAGAGATATCCAATTCCAAATAAGTTTCCACAAAGCAAGCAAGAGTCAATATTAAGATGAGCGGAATAGTTCCACATGTCTTACCAAGCCTGTTTTTTTCATTAAGCACACAATTCCAACCCAGGAACTCAGGAGTCATTTCAAACACCTCACACGTTATTGTCCTCTGCTATGCCTGAGACACTAACAATAACGCCCACATAATTAGAAGATCAAATAAAAGCTCTACTTCTGCTCTGGTATCTACAACCACAAAATATTCCAGTTAACCTAACAGATTTGTCTGTCTTTCCAATTTGCTAGTAGTGATTTTCTCTGAGATAATTAAGCTGATATTTCTCTTGTTTCCCTATGGGGCAAAGTAATTCTCACACAGAGTATATGTATGGAACTATCCCTTGAATCACAATGCTGAGGGTGATGAATTCGACCACAGAGTGGGTTTCTTGAGTGGTCCCCTGTAGTTTAAGCATGTACTGAACAGGTTATCTAGAGATATAATCAATGTAAATGTAAAAAACACTGGGTAAGAGTTTCACTTGACTTAAGTTTTCTAAAGCAATTTTATTCCTCATAAAGATTACAACATGAGCTCTTAAAAAGCAAGCACTCAGCCATGAAAAGCAAGAGATTAATTTTCAAACTGTCTTCCTCTTCAGAAAAGCAACATTTATTCATTCTTAATAATTCTTACTTTAAAAACATTCAAAATTTAATTTGAAGTTCTGGAAATTCCAAACTTTTTATATTTCCAACTAGTAGCTATCAGAGCATAAAAACAGAATATTCAGAATGGTATTCAAAAGCTCTCACACAGATAATTTAAAAACATCAGGTATGTTACTTCCTTTTCCCTTCTATGAACTGATCCATATGCTGTCATAACTCAATTTGGCACATCTGTTCTATGCCACACCACTTATTATTAATGGATGGCCTTTCTGTGCATTTAAAACATCAATGCCTTTTGTTAAACCTCCCCCACCCAGTCCCTCTCAACTCCCACCTTAGACAAATTACTCTAGTTCTCCTCATTCATTTTTAATGTTTCACTCCCTGAGATCTTTACCACCCACAAGGTCTATTAGGAAGAGAGAGACAGCAGATACGAATCAACCTTTCCACATAGGAAAGGCAATAAGAGCTTAAGAAGATGTGCTGTGAAATATCAAAATTAAGAGGCACCTGCCTCTCCTTTCCATCAGGAAAAAAAGAAAAAATTTTTAATATTTTATATTAAATAAAAACGAGGTAGCCAACAGAGACGAAAACATAGGCAATGCCTCACCAAGAGATAGACTTATCTTCCCAAGGCACAACGGCTTGCAAAATGCTACACACAGGCTTTAAAACAGAATTCCCCAACAGCAGTGCACTTAACTATTTGTGTATATTGTATTTTGAAGAAACATTTATCTATGTTTAATCAGGCAATTTGGCACTTCAAGTACAGGACTTTTCTGGAATCTTCAAATACCAGACTTTTAGATTTGAAGAACTCACGTCTCTTGTTTTAAGATGGGTCAGTAAATTAAACTGTAGTAGTCACAAAAATTAGCTTGAAACACATGGAAACACAATTTTGATATGTACCTGGTTAAAATTCTACTGGTGTCAAAGGAAGTTAAAATAAATTTTATTTAATATAGTTAGCTGACCATGTCTGTATCACATCCTCTGGGTATAACGACAGGATGAAAAACAGCAGACTCTATGGGAGAATAAGAACACTGTGCTCATGGCTGCTTTTACTCTTACACATGTAAGTGGCATGCAGCCTCTGTAATCAGTCTCTTCCCCAATGAACAAAAAGAAACCATTCCAACAAAAGCACAAGCTTCAAAGAAGAAATAATATGCGTGCTCCATCTCTATCCCTAAAACATCCAAATTTTACTTTTGAGGGTCATTTTTTTCTAAATGTCGGGAAGTCAGAGCCTAGGACACTCTGAAGCACCAAAAGGAAGTAGAGGCCTTTGAAGGGACCTTCCCGTGAGTGTCTTCCCTGGTTCTACCCTTCCCTACTTATCAGGGTAACCCTGAAGTATGGATCTTGAGCAGAGCAGAGCTACTCTGTCCAGGCAGGGAGGTAAACTGTCCACTGGTTACACAAAACTACAAAGAACTCTGGGTCTCTCTCCCTTTTGTGGAGGAGAAGAAAAAAGGCATGTTCATTTAGAGTACCTTTCTTTCTGAACAATTTCATGCAAAATCTAGGAGGGTTTTTATATGTGCCATGTTTAAGAAAAAATGTTGGGCTGAAAAATACTTGATGTCATTGATAATTTTCCTTAAAAAAATCAGGAAAAAAGATGTTAGCTGTGAATTCAATGAACTGGAATGTTATTTTATAATCACTGTTCATCCTATATATCAAATATCTACAGGAAACTGACTTAGGACCCACAAAAGTATATTGTGTTAAATAATTTTCTTGGACTAGGACAAGATACTAGCAGTAAGACAGTACATGTGTTGTTGAGGTGAGTGGCAGTTTAAAAATCTTACCTTAGACTCCTTCAGGGCTTGAAGTAGACTGTAAGAAATCTACTACCTTCAAAAGAGGTATTAACAAAATAGGTTTCTCTACCCTCAAGTCTCTTTCCACAGAGCTCTGTTCTAGGAGCACTCACAGGATCCAGAGAAATGGAATGGATAAGACTTCTCCAGTGTTGCCCTAGGTAATACATACATGCAGGAACAGGGGCTGACTTGGCTGTTGGAGGGGTACTTGGCAGCAGATGGAGAAAGAAGAAACCACGCCAGAGGGGAAAGGACACCCACAGCTGAAGGCTGCTAGGGTGGTCTAGAGAAGCATCAAGCTCCATGGCTAGACAGAGAATGAAAGGGAAGCTGGCCCAGGGATGACACATAAAAGGGACAGGCACAAAAATGCTGGCTTCCAAAGAATAATTTCTGTACACTTAAAACAAGGACGGCTGGAAGCATAAAT